TTGACGAAGCCAACAAAGGGTATCCTCAAAAAAGACACACCCAACTTGCTTCCTTCTAAGGCTTGACTCCCCACATTGGGTCATCGAACATTCCCACCATCCGACTTGCTCTCCCAACTTTCAGGACGAACTCACTCTCCGTTATCCTGTTCAGAATCCATATCGAGTGTCCGAGAAGGAGCCCTGAACAGCATGGGAGTTTCTTCCCACATCGTGGTGGGTTGCCAAAGAAGTCGTCAGAGTTCACAGAGCGATGCATCTGAGAGGATCACTCGGTGTAGGAACATGCAAGCACTCCAGACTCCAGACTGTCCGGTTGCTCTCCGATTTGATTGAACAGACAACCAACCCAGTCCCTCTGTAAGCCTCACGTGTGCGGTTGTTCGAGGTCACTAAAAAGCTATAGCACCCTACATAAACTCTAAACCAATCCACCCCGAACCAACCCTCAACCCCCCCCAAACTTTGGGCCCCCTGAACCCACAATGAGCCAACGCCAAACCACATGTCGAACCTATTGGACACTTGCCGCTTTTTGGCCGCTTGCGTAAAGTTGAACTACCTTTGGTTGCTTGGTCAACAACACAGCTCGAACTTGCTCACGCCCCTGAAATGCGCATTGCCGCATTGCCCATCATTAGCGAACTTCGACATGTTTCAGTCGCTTTGACAATTCCTGGGCAGTTCAGTCCTCTTAACTTGAGATTTCTCCAATGGAACTCATAGGTGGCGCACTTGGGTACTTCTTAGCTACTTGGCGGTTCAGCCCCGCGTGCAAGCCCAAATAAGCCGTGTGGCTTCCTCGCTGGCGTTTGGGCACTCGCCATCGCGAGTGAATCGTGGCTGTAGGCGTTTGGATTCCAGCTTGCTTGCGGGTCCTTCACGCAGCTGCCCAATTGAATCTTCCTGCAAGTTCAAGCATGGCGCATAGCGTGTTCAACTGAATTATGTGGGTCGCCGAGAGCTCTGCTGGGTGCCGACTCAAGGCAAGCACGCCAAAACACGGTTCGAGAACTAATTACTTGTATGGACCAGAGACGAAAAGACAATAATCTTAGCGAGCGCCAAGGGCTCACACGCTGGGCGAAAACCCGAGGCAGCCCGCACCAGGCCATAGAAGAGGAGAACAGGTCTTATCCCACTGTCATTTTTTTCAGCCAATGAAGGGGATTTTAGAAACTATTTGTTGCAGGCCCACCCACAGTCGGGGCCCTAAAGGCGATGTTTTTTCCTCTATCTGGTGGGCGTTACTGGGACCTGGTTGGGATTCAATGATTTGCGATCTGAGGCAGCCGAAGCAAGCGAAGGTGCAGGAGTCTGCGCAGCTTGGACATAGCCTTGGGGTGACACAATTATCCCCCCGTGTGTTGGACACTTGGGGTCGGTTTTGCAGGGGGCCCTCACATGTCCTTATTTTGCGATTGAAATATCACCTTCCCACTTTTATAAATAGGTCTCTTTTTGGTGGGTTGACGTTTGAAGCAGATATCTAAAGACCCCTGTTTTGCCTGGCCACTTTCTGGAGGGTCTTGGTCTGCGTGGCTTGCGGCAAAGAATCCGACCGAACATGGGAATCGGTGGGATTCTTTTGGTGCCAATTTTCAGAGGAAATCAGCATGAGAGCGGGAAGGGGGCTTCCATCTCTATCCAAGGCACGGCCCATCGGTGCCTGCTCTCGACGGAAAACGGGGGGCGGCGAAGGTGGATGCAAAGGCAGGGCGCCGAGCGCCGATTTTTTCTCACGTGTCCCTTTCACGAGGTTTCCCAGACTTGGGGCCTTCCCGAGTGAAGTGGAGCCTGAAAATGGCGGTGCAAACAAGTGCGGTTGGACCTGGTCTCAAGAAAAAGCCGCATCTTGCCCCAGCCAAGAGTTTAGCGAGAATTTCAGGGATGCGCCCCCCTGTGGTTTGAGCTCGGGGGTGGTGCTTCTTGTAGGTCACCCTTAATTTGTGCCCCCACAGTTGCTCTAGAACCCTTATTAACCTTTCGAATGCCAATCCAAGCCAAGAGTTCGGGATTGCCGGTTCGAGGTTCCTTTTCCTTTCAAAGCCAGTGGGCTGGTTCCAACTAGTTAGAGGCACAAATGTCTACCCAAGAGGGTGTCCTCGAGTTTATATGAAGAAACGACTCATTTTGTGACATACCATGATGTTAGGAGAGGGCCCTCCCTATTTCTGTAAAAGGCAGCATATGGGGCGTTGGCTTCCCAGCGGTGTCCTTTAAACACCTCGAAAGAGACACATATCCCAAAGGATACAGGATTCCCGCGTCTTCCGTCACAGGCAGACAAAGGGGAACGCCATCCGGGCAATTTTGAAAGGCAAGCCTGGGTTACCAAGAAGCACCCAAATGACTTGGGAATGACTCCTATAGCGTATCCAACTTGTGCTTTCCTTTTGGGGGATCCCTTCATTCTCAAACCCCTGGTGATTCCCTACTTGGGTCCGTAGCCAAGTGGTTCAACCACTTCGTCAAGTCTCACATCTAAGTGCTAAGAGCCAGGCCTCAGGGAATTTCCCACAAACGCCAGGCCAGGGGACGGGTTCCGTGATTTTCCCATGGCCATGGATCAAAATCCAAATCGTACCCCCAGTGAACATCCCAATCCAGCACTAAAATAGATTCCAAAATGGGTGGTGAATTCACCAACCAAAATGGGATCCCATGGGTTTTGACCACAGCCCCATGTCCTCTTCCCGCAGGCCAACATCCCCGAGGAGGACAGCCTTGAGGATACGAGCCCAGTTGAGAGTGGGCGAGCGACTCAGGGGTGGGACCCGGTCGTCGGGGTACAAAGGGGTTCTGATTGCTTGCGCCACTTCAAATATGATATATATATATATATATATACATATGTTCCCGTCGCCCGTCGTCCCCAGCCCCCCCCCGCCCCCCAATGGTATGGGTCCATCCAGGGGGGGGGACCCTGGCCCCCCCGCCCCCGCCCCCCACAGGGGGGGGGGGGCTTGTGGGGCGGCTTGCTCCAGTGTGCGCGCGACGTTGTGGGCGCGTTTGCGGCGCTGTTCGTGTGATGCGCTGCAATGCGATTTGCTCATTTTGCAGCACGCGACAAGTTGCAGCGCTGTCGCAATTGACAGTGCGCGATGCCACGACGCAGTTTGTGGTTTGCAGCGCCACAACCAAGTGCCAACCAAGTGCGCTGCAACGCGCCAGTGGCAAACACACTTTGCTTGCTACCCCAGCGGGCGGTGTGGGAACCATGGTCGCGGGGTGCTTTGCGGTCACACTGTGCTACCATTCTCCCCACCCCCCATTCCCACAGGGGGGCGGGGGGGGGGGTGGAACCATGGACCCCCCCACCCATCCCACAGGGGGCGGGGGGCTTGTAGGGTCACTTCTCGACTGAGCATGACCATTGGGGGGGGGTGGGGGGGGGGCCAAGGAAGCCTGGAACATATATATATATATAAATCATACTAATTAACAAGAATATGGTATGATGTAGAATACATGTTTTTTTGGTACAATTATATAAATTCTCTTGAATAATCATGTGTGTGGACGCTCGACCAAACTCTTTCCTTGAGTCAGCTTCAACGTCGCCCTTTGTTTGGCCCCCATCCCTTTTTCGTCAGGATGAAACCGGGCGTGACCCAAACTCCCTTTTGGCCAGGCCAATTTTAGGCGTGTGTCCTCTTGATGGTGTTCAAGAGGCAAGGGAGTGGCTGGAAAGCAGAGCGCGCCCCGCAGTCCATGTATCCAGTGGTCAATCGGCAGGGACATGGGGAACTCTCTGGGCGCGCATTGCGAGACGCGTATTTCAACGAACGGGGTCATGTGGGCAACGGTCAATGTTTACTGTCATCTCCTGTCACGCATCAGAGATGACATTGAGGCGCACGCATCAGAATACCATTAGGAAATAGGGTAGACCATTTTAGCTACCAGGTTTTCATTGTGACTCAACACTGTCAAAAGACCGGTTCTTTTTCTGGCCATCAGCTGGTTCCCTTTATGGCCATCAGCTGGTTCTCTTTATGGCCATCAGCTGGTTCCCTTTATGGCCATCAGCTGGTTCCCTTTATGGCCATCAGCTGGTTCTCTTTATGGCCATCAGCTGGTTTTCTTTATGGCCATCAGCTGGTTCCCTTTATGGCCATGAGCTGGTTCCCTTTATGGCCATCAGCTGGTTGCTTTTATGGCCATTAGCTGGTTCCCTTTATGGCCATCAGCTGGTTCCCTTTATGGCCATCAGCTGCTTCCTTTTATGGCCATCAGCTCTTTTTAGCGAGTGAGAAAATGACAAGCATGACTAGACTCTAGAGGCAATGAACCATTTGAGCTTCTGTGTTCGGCGGTTGGCCCAGTCAGTCCATGTTGTTAATGTTGGTTCTGGTATGCTGGTTCATGTCAGATCTGTTTCTGGTATTTTCTTGTCGTTGTTTTTTCTTTCTTTTTTTTCCCATGTTTTTTTTGCCGTTTTGGAAGTGTTGGTGCTTTGGCCTCGCCCCTTGCCCTGCTGGAGACCGTCCCTGTTTGGTGGTTGAACGACTTGGGGCGACTGCTTGAAGGAGTCTTGAACTAGACAGATAGGGGAACAGCCCTACACGCCTTCTCTTGTTTCCTTTCAGCAGACAAAAACAAAGCCACCAATTAATTATCCTGACAAGGTTCCATCCATGTCTGGTTGGAAGGGTTCCCCATTCGCATCAAAGCCCATATGTGAATGTTGACCCCAATCAAAATTGGCAGTGTCCCTCTGTTCCCCTTTAGGACATGCAACTTGGGGTACCCTCAAGATGACACACCCGGAGCAATGTTGGTAGGAAACATCACATCGCATGTCCAAGACTCCGCTGCACATGCGCATAGCTCTCAATCCTGCGCATGCGTGCGTAATGCGGCATTTTGCTCTCTTTTTTTAAGACTTGGACATTAGGAAAGCAGGACATCTTTCGATATCTTTAAACTGTTTGGAAAAGGATACATCACCGGGAGGACATGATTTAGGACACCCATCTCACAACCCCTCCATTTGCGCCTGAGATAAATCCGAGTCGCGGCGTTGCGATGTTACGATGAGCCATGGGAACGGCTTCACAGCTCCGTCCGGAGAAGCGCTTGAAGGAGATCCACGAGGCGAGATGGTCAAGGATGATGGCTTTGAACTGGGAGCATCGGCCTGTAAAAGCCCGAGTCAGAGGATGGAATCAAAGATGTTGGATGAAAAAAGGGGGAAGTCGGCCTGGATCGAGAATCCACCTGCTCCAGGTGAAATCCGGGCACAAGCAGTAGTCCCAAGCACAGCGCCAGTGGATGTCGACATTCTGAGCAAGGAAGCGCTGGTTTGCCTGCAGGACTTTTGCTTTGACCGTGATTCCCTATGCTGGCGGGCATTTGCCACGGTTTCTCACCTGGCAGCCTTTACAGGAAGCCTCACGTTGAGTGTGCTTTTGGCCTATGTTCTTTTTCCCTTTGAGAAGGCTGAGCTGGGATTTTGGAACAACTGGATGTTCAATTTGGTGGCACATCCGGTTGCCAACTACATCGTCGCTCGAGGCGTGCTGGTGCTGTTCGCGAGACCGGTTCTTTGGGACCTAGAGCAAAGGCTCAGTTTGTGCAAACAAAGACAAGAGATTACACGGCGGATCCAGATAGCCGTGCTTTGGGTGCCAATGGTGGACTCACTGTGGTGTGTTGGCGAGCATGTGATTGCTTCCTTTGCCAACATCTACCCGATTCCATTTTCAGGTCCGCTGTCCTGCATACCGGCAACCTTTGCAAGCTTGGGCATTTTCTGTCTCGTCCTGCCCAGAGAAGTTCGTGCTCTCCCAAGCACACGAAGCTACTTGAAGTTCGCAATCTGCTCTTGGGCAGTTTATTGTGCCTTTTTTACCTTGATGCTTTTCTACGTGGTAGTTTTCCCACTGATGGAGACTTGGGTGCAATTTGCAACGAACCTGCTGGTGACTTTGGTGATGCACGGAGTGGTCGCTCTGACACTTCATTTGGGCAAGCTGCACTGGAGTGTCCCATTTCATTTCCGTCGCGAAATGAAGACATGCATGAAACTTCCTGTGATTGTTTTCAAGGCCTCCATGCTATCCGACGCCAAAGGAATTTGGGTTCTCTTGAGCATGCTTCTACCTGAGGTCTTGGATGTTGCCAAAGGCCTCGTTGAGGCTTACGTGGATGTTGCAGGAACACATCGTCACTGGGCCAACATCAGATCGATGAGCCAAGTTGTTCAAGCCTCTCGCAGAACTCGCCAGGAATTCCGGGACTTCCGAAAGAGATTGAGAGAAATTGCCCAGCTCTGCGAAATGCTGACGAAAGAAGAGCTCGAAGGTTTGGTTTGGGGAAAGGAGGATATCCATTTACTGAACCAAATCTCCAAATCCTTGTGGGCTGTACTTATGCTGGAAGTCTGTGAGGTGATGGCGCCGGCAATTTATATTACTCTCTTGCTGTGCTTGCAAAGTGGCACATTCTTGGGACACAATAGCTCCTTCTTTTTGGGCCTCGCAGATGCCAATCTTCACGAATCCATGATTGCGAACGGCTACAGTCTTGCAGTGGAGGCAACGATGTTGGTTGCCACGGACCTGTGCACAAGGGCCACCATGGGAATCAGCGTTTGGATGATCATCCGGTCTGTCCTTCGTTGTGACTTCAGCTTTTGGCTGAGTATATTCGCCATGGTGTATGTTGGCTGGCTGACGATGCTAGTTGAGCACGGTGGCCATGACTTGGCATTCGATTGGTTTCCTCGGGGGGCGTAGGGGTAAACTGGCTCGTTGCTGAGTGGGCCCATATTCTGTGAATGTCGTGAGGCCCCCATTTGGCTCAGTTGCCTTTGATGAGCGTGCGCGGTGTTGGACGATCTAGGCAAACTTGATTCTGACGATGTTTAATCAGCGGCTGGTCTTGCAGGCTGAAAGTCTACTGGACCGCCGGTTTCCTGCGACCATTTAGTTTCCAACTTGGATATTCCTTCTGTGGGTTGGGTGTTTCTTCTTTTCATGGTGCGCACCGAAGGTGCACAGCACTGGCAATACAAATTATCGTTGAAGCATGCATCGCATGCCTGCAAGCACACAAGACACACGATTTCAAAATCACAAAAGGCTTTCCGCCAGCGTTGCTATACTGGACTTCCAGTTTCCCACTACATATAAGCAACGTTTTCAACACTTTTGCAAAGCATGCTGTGTTTTGGTGTGAACCGAGGGGAATCTTGAGTGAATGCAACGGACATGAATACAACTCGATAATTTGCATTTGCAGAACGGCCACCCTGGCCCTGACGGCCCTGCCCGAGCCTCTGCAAGTCAGCGCCAGACTCAGTTTCAGTTCCAGCAAGGGAAGCGCCAAAAGTCCTTGCAGCTCTTGATGCTCTCAACATTGGTGGTTTGTGGTTTGTGGTTGGTCGGCGTTTTTTTTTCTTCTTTTTCTCTCCCCCCCCCCTTTTTTTTTTCCGTGAGGGATCCATGAGCTGCGTGAACTGAGTGAACATGAGGCCTAGGACTGCTTCATGCGGGGAGGGCACCTCTTTTTTGCAGCTTCAAAGAGAAACAGAAAGGAACAACCACCCATTTCAATTTTAAGACACTCTGTTTGTTTGTTTGGTAGTGTTGATGGAGGAGCTCGCAGAAAGCTATGTTTAACCATTTACTGCGGATATGTTTGGGGGCAATCGTCTTGAGAGCCAATCAGATTTCTATGCGCTTGATGGGGGCAATCTGTCCGGGGACCTCAACACTGGCTGGTTTCCTTATAGTTTGCCTCTCAAACTCTCCAAAAGTGGTGTCCTCAACGAAGACACACCCATTCGCCTGACGACATCCCCACTAAATAGGGACTTCCGCCTGCTACTGAACCAGTCCTTTCTTATTGCTGGGCAAGTAGCAGCTGAGCCACAATCAAAACCCGGGTAGATGAAGGTTAGTAAGGGCCATAAATAGCTACGGCTGCCTTCTTGATTCCTCACATGGTTCTGGGTCGACCATTTTAATACCGGGTTTTGATTGTGACTCAGCTAACTTTGACAAGATCTGATGGGCATTGGGGGACACAATATTCTGCCTGATTGCCATTCAATCCACTACCCCACTACCCTCAACCACCTACTCTCCTGTCAATAATCATGATGGTAGTCTTCCAACCTCCGCTACACTTTCATTTTGGACAGGGTGTACATGGGGAGGGCTCCTCTGTTGTAAGACACCCCCAAAAGAAAGAGAAACGGGAGTTGCAATAGATGGCCCTTTGGACATCCACTAGTTTCCCTCTTGGGATTCAAAATATCGACCTGTCTCCTTATGACCCTTCAAAGCCCTTCTGACCTTCCAAATGGGGTTACCCAAAAGCAAAATGGCGAGGCCGGAAGACAAGGACTTCGACCAGGTCGGAGTCACTGGCGAAGAGATGTGACAGGGCTGAGGTGTTTCCCTTGTGAAAGGTGAAACTACAAATGTGGCTGTGGCTCAAAAAAGAACGACTTAGGGTTACCCAGGTTGTATTTGGTGCCATTTTGATAAATGTGTTTGACCCACAGCCATGTAAGACTCGCATTTTCGGGGTCTCATTTTAAGTGGGTTTCCTTTGAGTGAGTTTCCTTTGAGTTGGGTGTCTCATTTTGAGTGAGTTTCCTTTGAGTGGGGTGATTCGGGGTCTCATTTTAAGTGGGTTTCCTTTGAGTGGGGTGATTTGGGGTCTCATTTCAATTGAATTTCCTTTGAGTTGGGTGATTTGGGGTCTCATTTTAAGTGAGTTTCCTTTGCGTGGGGTGATTTGGGGTCTCATTTTAAGTGAGTTTCCTTTGAGTGGGGTGATTTGGGGTCTCATTTTAAGTGGGTTTCTGTTGAGTGGGGTGATGTGGGGTCTCATTTTAAGTGGGTTTCCTTTGAGTTGGGTGATGTGGGGTCTCATTTTAAGTGGGTCTCTTTTGAGTGGGGTGATGTGGGGTCTCATTTTAAGTGAATTGCGTTTGAGTGTGGTGATTTGGGGTCTCATTTTAAGTGGGTCTCTTTTGAGTGGGGTGATTCGGGGTCTCATTTTAAGTGGGTTTCCTTTGAGTGGGGTGATTTGGGGTCTCATTTCAATTGAATTTCCTTTGAGTTGGGTGATTTGGGGTCTCATTTTAAGTGAGTTTCCTTTGCGTGGGGTGATTTGGGGTCTCATTTTAAGTGAGTTTCCTTTGAGTGGGGTGATTTGGGGTCTCATTTTAAGTGGGTTTCTGTTGAGTGGGGTGATGTGGGGTCTCATTTTAAGTGGATTTCTTTGGAGTGGGGTGATTTGGGGTCTCATTTCAAGTGGGTTTCCTTTGAGTGGGGTGATTTGGGGTCTCATTTTAAGTGAATTGCGTTTGAGTGTGGTGATTTGGGGTCTCATTTTAAGTGGGTCTCTTTTGAGTGGGGTGATGTGGGGTCTCATTTCAAGTGAGTTTTCTTTGAGTGGGGTGATTTGGGGTCTCATTTCAAGTGAGTTTCCTTTGAGTGGGGTGATTCGGGGTCTCATTTTAAGTGAGTTTCCTTTGAGTGGGGTGATTTGGGGTCTCATTTTAAGCGGGTTTCCTTTTGAGTGGGGTGATGTGGGGTCTCATTTTGAGTGGGTTTCCTTTGAGTGGGGTGATGTGGGGTCTCATTTTAAATGAGTTTCCTTTGAGTGGGGTGATTTGGGGTTTCAGTTTAAAGTGGGTTTCCTTTGAGTGGGGTGATTTGGGGTCTCAGTTTGAGTGAGTTTCCTTTGAGTTGGGTGATGTGGGGTCTCATTTTGAGTGAGTTTCCTTTGAGTGGGGTGATTCGGGGTCTCAGTTTAAGTGGGTTTCCTTTGAGTTGGGTGATGTGGGGTCTCATTTTAAGTGGGTCTCTTTTGAGTGGGGTGATGTGGGGTCTCATTTCAAGTGAGTTTTCTTTAAGTGGGGTGATTTGGGGTCTCATTTCAAGTGAGTTTCCTTTGAGTGGGGTGATTCGGGGTCTCATTTTAAGTGAGTTTCCTTTGAGTGGGGTGATTTGGGGTCTCATTTTAAGCGGGTTTCCTTTTGAGTGGGGTGATGTGGGGTCTCATTTTGAGCGGGTTTCCTTTGAGTGGGGTGATGTGGGGTCTCATTTTAAATGAGTTTTCTTTGAGTGGGGTGATGTGGGGTCTCATTTTAAATGAGTTTCCTTTGAGTGGGGTGATTTGGGGGGTTTCCTTTGGGCTCATGTTTATATAGGGAGCCAAAGCGACCGATGTCCCTCCCCGGGTTCGATTCAGAACTTTTTTGCAATCGGTGGGGCCTGGTTTCCTTTCAGGGAGTGAGCGCAAACGCCAGGATGCTATGAAGTCCTTGGAGGACATGGACATACAAGACGACCAAGCGCCACCCTCTTAGCATTGGCGCGTCCGCATGGATCAGTCAAAGGCCAATAAGTTGTGTCAAAGAAACCAGGGAATTCCACAGAAAGCCGCCAAAGCTTCTGGTCTTCCTGTAGAGTCTCCAGCAGCTCGTTTCGGGAGTCAGTATGTGCTGCCTTTGAAGTGAGGCGCCAAAACAGTGGCACCATTTTCTAAACTTGCGCCGTGATGTGCACCGATGGGTGATTTCATGACGTGCTCATGGCAGGGTGGTAGCGAAACCAGAGCCGGTCATTGCTTGGTGCGACTTGTACAGGATTGCTCCGAACCTCAAAGCAAAGGTAGAGTGTAAAATCTGGGAGCGCCTGCAACCCCTATTGACAATGTTAGAGGGCACTTGTATCGGGTTTCATGTGGGCTTAGTAAAGCCCATATTAACTCGGGATCCGGCCTGGGAGAACCCCTTGAAAAGCTCTATGGGGGCGAATAGGTCACCCCCTGCCCAGAAAGCCGCCCTTAGAGTTACACCCCTGGGCGTTTTGGGGGCTGCTCAAGATTCCCAGCGTCGGCTAAGGAACTTGGCGGAGGGCGTGGAAGAAGAGGATGAGGAAGACCAAGACGCTGGCCGGGCCGAAAATGTTTCAGGGCTCCGTACCTCAACCAAACCACAAATGTAGAAAACGGGGGGGGGGGGGGGGGTCTGCCTATTTTTTTGGCCAGCTCTGGGATTAAAACCAACTAACCCATGATGTGCGTCCTGTACTTGGGGTCCTTTTTTGGAATCACGGATGGTATTGCCAGCTTGGTTTTGTGTTTTCCCAAACCCGGGGGCTGGTAGAATAGGAAGCGAACTGCTAGAACATGCGGAGGGTTGGCACTGAGATTCACGTTTGCATTGAGTCGGCAGGGCGGTCCCTCGAAAATCCGCCCAAAGACGCGAAGCTCCGCAGACGCAGAACTTGAGAGCTGCATCTCGCAGACGCGAGGACGCGCAGCTAGCAGCTTCAGAGCTTCGCCAGAAGACTCGAAGCTTCAGAGCTTCGCACGAAGACGCGGAGATGCGAAGCTTCAGAGCTTCACCCCGAAGAAGCGCAGCTTGGATCAGCTGATGATCAGAGCTTCACCCGAACGCTCGAAGACGCGGAGATCCGAAGCTTCAGAGCTTCACCCCGAAGAAGCGCAGCTTGGATCAGAGCTTCACCCGAAGTCTCGAAGCTTCAGAGCATCGCCCGACGACGCGGAGATGCGAAGCTTCAGAGCTTCACCCCGAAGAAGCGCAGCTTGGATCAGCTGATGATCAGAGCTTCACCCGAACGCTCGAAGACGCGGAGATCCGAAGCTTCAGAGCTTCACCCCGAAGAAGCGCAGCTTGGATCAGAGCTTCACCCGAAGTCTCGAAGCTTCAGAGCATCGCCCGAGCTTCAGAGCTTCATTTGGTCACTGATGATCAGAGCTCACCCGAACGCTCGAAGACGCGGAGATCCGAAGCTTCAGAGAGCAGCTTCAGCACCCGAAGACTCGAAGAGCTCGCGAAGACGCGGAGATCCGAAGCTTGTTCACCCGAACGATCCGAAGCTTCAGAGCTTCACCCTGAAGAAGCGCAGCTTGGGTCAGAGATTCACCCGAAACTCGAACCTTCAGAGCTTCGCGCGAAGACGCGGAGATCCGAAGCTTCAGAGCTTCACGAAGAAGCGCAGCTTGGATCAGCCGATGATCAGAGCTTCACCCGAACGCTCGAAGACGCGGAGATCCGAAGCTTCAGAGCTTCACCCTGAAGAAGCCAGCTTGGGTCAAGATTCACCCGAAGACTCGAACCTTCAGAGCTTCGCA